GGGGGGGGGGGGGGGGGGCGACGGCAAATGAAAACTGAAAGCCGCGACAGCGTTGCAGTGGTGACAATCCCCAACGATCCCAAGGAACCAAGCACGCACAAGCATGCACAACACGCAGAACAAACGAGAGAGCCACAAACCGGATGACACGCCATATGTAGAAGGAAGGGATCGACCCAAGTACGATGCGACGAAGAACACGCACCGCGTGGTTGTTGCTCCAAAGAACGTTCCCGGGTGCGCTCGGGTCGTTCCCGGCCATGACGACCAGCATGCCGTTGTCCTGGATAGCCACGAAGCACCGGCCCTCCGAAGAGAACGACGAGGTCTCCCACACCTGCTCAAGAGTTTATAGTCGTTCGTTCCCCGTTCGTTTACGACCCCAGGTCGCCGGCGTCAAAAATCATGTACACGGCGCAAAGAGTCGAGAGAGCCAACAACCGCGCACCACATACCACATTTTGCACGCATCAACAGGAAGAGTGGCGGCGAAACGAACGCACCACTCGGGGGTACCGGGACAACGAACTGGCGCTTCGTTTGGAATGTAAACACAGTGATCTGGTTGGTAGGTAGCTCCATCGAGCAACAGGGGGAAAATCGACATTTCACGGGCCACGAGCGACACAAAACGGCAAAAATCCTAACCCTTCTCGCGAAAATAAGGTTAAACGCGATCACCACAGGAAGAGCGCGAAGAAATACCAAAAAAGAACATCCTGTGAGGGTTGCCTCTTGCATGAAGCCTCCGTCTGGTGCCTCCAGAAAACACGCCAAAAGAGCTACATCGACGTCTAGAACACATGAATGCACACTTAGATGGCAACACACAGCCACAGAGGAATATGGCGTAAACGACGAATAGGGGCGGCCACTGAAGTCATAGGCGCGTGTGCGGCAGATCAAGGCGTGTATAGAGTTTGAGTACCGCCTCCCCCCCCATCACCATAGACTCTACGTCTGCACCGAGCCCGACGCAACACCCCGGCCAACAACAAGCCCGACTCGTGGTGATGCCTACACTCGCCAACCACCAGCTGCTGTAGCCAACCAAGCACGCTCCCTGACCTTCTTCCCCCCTCCTCTCAAGTGGTAGACCACCAAGTTGCAGTCGCTCTCCAAGACTGCCGTGAACTTGCGGTCGACAGAGGCGATGCTGTGCCCCACCCGGAGGAACTCGTTCATGCGCAGGACGTTGTCTTCTCATTTCGTTTTTTTGTTTTGTCATTTTGATTTTCAGGCCCGCCCCCCCGAGGCAAAGGGAGCAGAGAGGAGGGAGGAGAGGGGAGGGAAGAAGCCAAAAGCAAGTTCGCATTGAGGGTCGTTTGCGATGATGGAGCCACATAGACTTGTACCACAGCAGTAGTCCACACGCAAGATTACAACACACGCAGGATGATGCATTGCGTCCTACACAGGGGGGCGACCTGGATAGCTCCCACGTTTGCTTACATATAGAGGGAGCCACATCAATGCTTGGAGTGTACAGTAATCGCGATCACAAGGCAAACATGAGCACAACAAAACAGAAGCCAAAGTCGTTCGAGCTCCCACGCGAGAGGATACTGTACACAGTTGGTCTCGGGCACATCGTGCCGCCTGCCCGTCCGAGCTAGCGGCAAACTCAACACGTTCTTCAAGACAAACCCGGCTGCCACAAGGATAATAGAGGCGGTCTCTACCGTAACCGCCGCTGCGAATGCACAAGAGCAGCAGGAGCACACCCCAACAGGTTCCCGCTCAGGCCCAAATGGAGGCACCAAGCCGTACACATACTGCAAGCAGCAACAAAAGCGAGGTCTCAACGAAGAAAACAACCGAGCGCACCGAACGTCCCAACCAACCACTTGCTGCTTGCATCCTCTCCTCATCTCCTCCGAGCCAACCTAAGCTCCCCCTTCCATGAACGCGAGAGAGGTTGCAACCCCCCCCCCCCCCCCCCCCCCCCCCCCCCCCCCCCCCCCCCCCCCCCCCCCCCCCCNGCCAACCTAAGCTCCCCCTTCCATGAACGCGAGAGAGGTTGCAACCCCCCCCCCTTCCCGCCCCCGCCCCCCCACAAGCGCTCGCTCACCCACTGGCGTGTCGCCGCGCCCGTTCCCGTGGCCGAAGCCGCGCTCCCCGACGGGCGCCACCCCTGGCCCGTAGTAGTCGAACGGCCCGGTCTTCTCGAACCAGGCGTCGAGCGACTTATCGAACAGGAAGTCTTGGGCCGTGGACCGCGAAGACCCGTCCCCGTACATCACCGTGGTGATCACACGCCGGAACATTTGGCCTGAGGGGGGAAGAGAAGGGCGGGGTGTTAAGTCATGATCGCACATGCCGTAGTAGTGGTTGGGAGGGTTGGGGGGGGGTGCATACGGCGTTCTTTTCCCTTGCGGGGTTCCGGCGTGCGGAGCGAAGAGAATTTGTTTCGTATTCAGTTTCACCCGTTTAGCCGCGAATGAAAGTTGTCCCCGAACCCAACATGCGCGGGGATTCGAACAACTGCCGGAGGAACGCCGCCGCATTGGTACTGGTACCGAGTAGATGGGCAAGGCTACAGTTTTTGAACGATAGCTCGCCCACAGGGGAGCAGCGGCGTGCCGAAACGTGCTGCTGCTCATCTGCTACTTACTCTCAATCGGAAAACCTTCTGGGCATCCTAGAGATGCATGCAATCTCGTGCCGGCCGCGGCGATCGCCAAGCCCCCTGTGCCTGGATACGAAGACTCGCAGAGCCACGGTAGTGAGAGTTCTCTCCGTATCTGCACACGTTTCTATCCAGCTTCCTTCCCCCAAACTCTTGTATCCCGGAGAAAATTAGAATCGCAAGAAAGAGCCTTCCCGGCGACAGCTCTAGACTGAGAGAGCTACGCAGGAGCGTGGCCGATGCACGGCTTGCAAAAAAGCGAGGTCTACTGAGCAACCCGACAGCGGAAAGGAAGGAGGGGGCAGTAGGTTGGCCGTCTCATGTTGCTGTTCGTATGCACTTGTGGCGAACACAACAAAAACATGCGCGCTAAAACTTCCACGCGCGTGCGAATGTCGCTCGCACTTGGTACCTAAAAAGAGCAGCAGTAGCACGAAAGAAACACCACACCTCCATCTTCGTAGTCCTGGTACTGCTCAAAGTCTTGCCCGCCCCACGACATTCCCTCCTGCTGCTGCTGCTGCTGCTGCTGCTGCTGATACTGGTGCTGCTGTTGCTGGTACTGCTGCTGCTGCTGCTGCTGATACTGGTGCTGCTGTTGCTGGTACTGCTGCTGCTGCTGATGCTGCTGATACTGGTGCTGCTGTTGCTGGTACTGCTGCTGGTGGTGGTAGTCGTAAGCGTCTTGCGCGTAATAATAGTCGTTATCTGGTCCGTCGAAGGAGCCCGCGCCGAACAGTGCCTGCGATTCACGCGAAACCGCCGTGGACAATGCAGCTAAGGGCATGTTCGGCCGCTCGATGAGACGCAACGGCGCTACAGGGCGTCGTGTGGCTGCGGCTACCTGAACGGGTCGAACTAAACGCTGGTCATCGTGTTCTTCTGCTTTAGGCAAAGTCAACAACCATCGCACGCGTGAGGCTGGAAAGCGAATTCTCGACGACTTGGTCTTGAAAGCGATAACAGACAGCGGACAAGAGCGGCGGCAGCATTATTGAAGCAGCGAACAAACTCCACCTACCATGGGACGTTAAGACCTTTGTCACGTCCAAAAACATGATGTCACCTTCTTACAAACAATCAACCAAACGACGCCCCCCTTGCGCACCTCGAACAGCTCCATCGGGTCGCGAGCGCGGAACTCAAACGCCCCGCCCCCTCCCGCCCCGCCCCAGCCACCGCCGTACGGGGCGCCACCGAACGCCGCACCGCCACCGAACGAGCTGCCAAAGCCGTCCCAATCACCCCCGTTAGCGTAGAACCACTCCGGATCCATTTCCCAGACCCCGGCGCCGCCGCCGCCGCCGCCTCGTCCGCGCCCTCCCGATTGTTCGCGGTTGTTGTCGCTGTTGCCATGTTCGTGGGCCGCTCGAACGCGACGCGCGTGGTCGTAGAGCTGCCTCGAGGAGTCGTCGCTCAGGACTTCGTAGGCTTCCGCGATCTCGGCAAACTTGCTCTGCGCGGTCTATATGGCATGCAGGGGGGTGAATATATGCGGGGTACAGTGCCGGAAAGTGTGAGACCGATTTTGGTTGACCGGCCATAACTTTTGACTAAAGTCATGGTTTTCGACACTATTTTCACGTGCGTATTGCCCGTGATGGCACCGACAAGACGCGGTGACCAAATTTTTTTTGATGAGGTCGAAAAAAATTGCATACATTTTTCAAGATAAACGTATGGAAAAATTAACATAAAACACAAATATGATCAGGAAAAAAAGACTAGAGAGAGTGCTTGCTGGACTCGAAACGGGGTGTTGGGCCTGTGGGCGCCGGCGCGAACGACATTTATGCCATTGCACACGAAAACAAACTGGAACCGCTAAGGGGACATGTGCCCTTATATACATGTAACACTAACGGTCATTTTCCTGTAATCTTTTCCAGAATTGCTCAATTACTCCTTGAGTTATCATCATATTGCCCCACGACAAAAATTCAAGGTGAAGAATCTGGAGAAATGCTTCTTTTTTTTGTTCACAGGATTTTGATTTTTTTTTAAGTTCTTCTTCACCACGCTCGGGTATGGTTCTGCCGCAGTAAAATACTTCTGAAAGAGAGCTTTGCAAATCTGCAATTTTTTTTGCGGGGTTCGCCGTAGTTGTTGAGACATGGCGATTCTTGTGGGATGAAGTGCCTTCTGCATTGATGGTAAAGGAGCCATATCTTTCTCAAAAACGAAAACCCCGCGCTGTGGATAGGCTTATTCGATCGCTGCTGGCGAGAGCTTTCTCACGAACATTTTGGTTCCGCTCAATTTGTTCAAGAAGGTTCTTTTTTTTTTCAAAGCACCCGTATTCGGGCTCACACTTTCCGGCACTGTACCAGGTAGGAGGGTGGTTGGCTTGACGACAAAAGCACATATGCTTGATGACGCACCCGCACACTCATCTACCACTCCCTTGGTTTTCGGGTGAAACCACGCGGCTGTCTGTCTCCGCTGCTCTCGCTCGCTTCGTGTTTCATAGAGCGACAAACCCGCCCGCGGTCCAAATTCGAAGGGAGATGTGCAGGCGAGCCGCCTCATACTGCCGCTGCATACGTAGGCAATGCGGGAACAAACCCTCTTTTCTCCCACGACTCCGTGCGCGTCCGCCCGTCCTCCCTTCGAGCGAGCCCGCAGTCATTCGCGGTGCATCTACATGGGTGGCTCTCTTGGATGCCATGCTCCCATGCTCGCTTGGGAAACGGCGCCATGCGTCCCGTCCGTTTGCATATACGAGGGCCAACATGCGTGCTCGTGGTGTGCATATCATAATTTTTACTCTGCACAGTACTCACGGGTGGCCGCGTTTCGTGGCACGTGTTTTTAAAAACTGATGCCAAAAGTTCGCACAGCACGGGTGGCCACTTTTTCGCCACACGCGTTGTTCGTAAAAACTTGTGCCAAACCTACCCACAGCAGGAACATAATAATCCCTCTCCAGCACCAATAACGTACACTAGTAGCACCCCTGCACGCACCTGAGTGTCGTCTGGATTCTTGTCGGGGTGCCACTTCTTGGCGAGCTTTCTATACGCCGCCTTCACATCGAAGGCCGCCGCTCCTGGCTCTACTTCCAACACGGCGTACAGATCCCGCTGTGCAATCTTTTTTGTTTCAGAGCCATTTGTTTAGGGGGGAGAAGAAGGCAAGACGGAGAGGGTAGAGAGCGTGCAAAAGGTGAAAACAATCAGATGGCGGCACGATTGTACTTCGTTAGCTTTTGTGTGCTCCGGTGCGGTATCGGTGAGAGAACAGACACGTAACAGAGACGGAGAAGCAGAGGGAGGGGGGGTGAGAGAGATATTAACGAGAGAGAGGCTGCCGCGAAAAGAGCGAGCACATGACGTCTTCTAACGTCTACATTCCATGAGGTTAGTGGAGAAACCCATTCCGGCGGTTCGACAAGCGTCCACCTTTTTAGGTCAAGACACGAGGACCACACCATGTGTACCCGCTCCTAAGATTTTTCGGCTTGTTCCTCGCAAGAGGGCTGGGACTAGTACGCACCGCTGGGTAAGCCAGGAAACACCTACGTTTCACCCTTCCTCTGCCTTGTTAAGAATTCACTGCTGCCTTGTCCTCGATTTAGTCGTCGCGAGCACGAGAACGGGCACGTGCTCACGCTGCTGTGGATGCGGGTGATCTGAAACAACTTGAGTGCTGCAACTGCACAACGAACGGGAGTTGGACGACAGCCCGACCTGACGACCAACAAGAGCGACCACGAGCAGCCCCCGAGAAGGTGTGGAGAGGTGGCCATGACCCTTGGCTTGAAATCATCACATAACCGTGGGTCAAGAAAAAAGAAGCAAGGAACGCCCCCCGACTCATGGGCGTAGGTAGCATGTAAGGGCAACGTCCCGACTCCTTGCACCATGCCTACTACAGTGGGGGCCCCGGTTTAGCGACCCCTAGTGTCACGACGAAATATGGTCGCTATTCAGGGCATGTCGCTAAATGAACCCGGTTAACGACCAGTGGTTGCTAAACCGGGAGCCTCAATAGCGACTATTAGCGGTCGCTAAATTGGGAAAAAGCGACAATTCGTGGGACTAAAGGCCGTATTGCAGAAACCTTCTTGACCGGGTCATGTGTGCGTCGTATTGCAGCAGTCACATGAAGGTAGAGGAAAGAAGAAGCACCTTAGGGTGGACAACCGGGGAGTAGTTCCTATATGGAATGCATTCCAATTAACCAGCAAGCTTGTTGTACGATCCGAAGTTTGTAGGAAAAGTCTCAACAGCAAATGTACAGAGGGTGCCTTGTGTCTTTCCCGCATGCTGAACAATCTGTCCATGTACATAGACCAACACAAAAGAAACACGAATAAGTAAGCCCTATCTGCGAAGTATAACAACAAAAGAAAGGTGGGGGGGGGGGGGGTACTCGTAG